TAAGTCACCCTTCACGAGCACTTGTGAAAGGGGTGAGGGACTATTAGACCTAATACATACCGATGTATGTGGACCTTTTAGATCAACCACGAAGGATGGGAACCGCTTCTATGTGACCTTTACCGATGATTATAGTAGATATGGGTATATCTATTTAATCAAGCAAAAGTCAGAAACCTTTGAAAAGTTCAAAGAGTTCAAGAATGAAGTGGAGAATCAATTGGGCAGGAAAATCAAGATGCTTCGATCCGATCGAGGAGGAGAGTACCTAAGTCTTGAATTCCACGATATCTCAAGGAGTGTGGAATAGTTTCGCAATCGACGCCTCCTAGGACACCGCAGTGAATGGTGTGGCAGAAAGGCGTAATCGAACCTTATTGGATATGGTTCGCTCTATGATGAGTCGTGCTTCACTACCTATCTTCTTTTGGGGGTATGCCTTAGAGACTGCCGCCCATATCCTTAACCGAGTCCCTACTAAGAAGGTTGCCAAAACACCTCACGAGATGTGGACGGGGAAAGCTCCCTCGTTGGCACATATCAAGGTTTGGGGTTGCAGGTTTTCGTAAGACGAGATACTCACGACAAGCTTGAACCTCGAAGTGAGCGATGTATTTTCATCGGCTACCCGCAAACTTCCTTTGGATATCTCTTCTATAGACCGAAAGATAATGTTATCTTTGTTGCGAGGAGAGGAGTTTTCCGAGAGCGAGAACTCATAAGCCAAGGAGACAGTGGGAGGCAAATCGAACTTGAAGAGATTCAAGAGTCGATAGATGAAGGAACCTCTACCGCTGGCATTCAACCCGAGGAGGAAACTCCGGTTGAACCGATTGACGAATCCTTACCTCTTAGACGTTCCGATAGAGTTAGAGTTCATCCCCAGTTTTATGGTTTTCATATTACCCCGAAGGGGACACGTATATTAGTGATGGTACACTAGTAAATCTTGATGAACCTAATAGCTATAAGGAAGCCATGGCAGGCCCGGAGTCTGTGAAATGGAAAGAGGCGATGGATAGCGAGATCCAATCCATGTACGATAACCAAGTTTGGAATTTGGTTGATTACGTGCCCGAACGTAAGACCGTAGGGTGCAAGTGGATCTTCAAGAAGAAGACCGACGTGGATGGAACGTACACACATATAAGCGCGATTGGTTGCGAAGGGCTTTACTCAAACTCCCGGAGTTGACTATGATGAGACCTTCTCACCAGTTGCGAAGATTAAATCTATTAGAGTGATGCTAGCAATTGCCGCATTTCATGATTATGAGATTTGGCAAATGGATGTCAAGACCGCTTTCCTTAACGGAAAGTTGGCTGAGGATGTTTACATGGCTCAGCCGGAGGGTTTGTGGATCCGAAGCATCCGAATAGAGTGTGTAAGCTTGAGAAGTCCATTTATGGACTTAAGCAAGCGTCTCGCAGATGGAATCTTTGCTTCGATGAGAAAGTCAAAGAGTTTGGATTTGTACGAAGCGAAGACGAATCTTGTGTATATGTCAAAGCCAGTGGGAGTATAGTAAGCTTCCTCGTTCTATATGTCGATGACATATTACTCATAGGAAACGACATCCCGACTCTGCAGGAGGTTAAGTCCTGGCTCGGAAGTGCTTCGCTATGAAGGACCTCGGAGAGGCTTCTTACATTTTGGGAATAAGGATAGTAAGAGAAAGAAGTAAGAGACTAATTGGACTTAGTCAGAATACTTACTTGGAGAAGGTACTAAAACGTTTTAGTATGGAAAACTCAAAGAAGGGAGAACTACCGATACAAGGAAATGCCAAGTTGAGTAAGACTCAAAGTCCGAGTACCGAAGCTGAGATAGCAGAAATGAGCCGAGTACCATACGCTTCCGCAGTTGGCTCAATCATGTACGCTATGACTTGTACTCGCCCTGATGTAGCCTTCGCTTTGAGCATGGTTAGCAGATATCAAGGGAACCCTGGCAAAGCACATTGGATTGCGGTGAAGAACATCCTTAAGTACCTTCGGAGGACGAAAGAATGGTTCTTAGTCCTTGGAGGGAGTGATGACTTGAAGGTGCGAGGGTATAGTGACGCTAGCTTTCAAACCGATAGGGACAACTACCGTTCGCAGTCGGGCTGGGTCTTTACCCTAAATAGAGGAGCAGTGACGTGGAAAAGTTCCAAGCAAGAAACCGTAGCTGATTCAACGTGCGAATCAGAGTACATCGCAGCGAGCGAAGCGTCGAAGGAGGCAATATGGCTGAAGAACTTCATCGGTGATCTTGGAGTTGTGCCGGCCATAAAGGAGCCCATGGAGATTTTCTGTGATAACGAAGGTGCGGTTGCCTTGACCAAGGAACCGAGGGATCATGGTAGATCTCGACATATCGACAGAAAATATCACTTCATTAGACATCGTGTAGAAGAAGGACAACTCGTAGTGAAGAGGATATCATCAGAAGATAACCCAGCAGATCCGCTTACGAAGGGACTAAGTAGGGTTAAGCACTTACAGCATGCTAGGAGTATTGGGCTGAAGGATGATATTAGCATAGATTAAATAGTATTAGAAACGTATAATAGATAAATGTAATTGACATTTGATGATTAAATAACGGAGTTTTATTTATGAGTAAAGTTACTATCACATGTTAGTTGTTTAACTATTGTTTCACTTGCATGTTTTGACTTCCAGAATAATTGAGTTTATTAGGAATAATCGAATTATTCAAATGGTCCACAATCATTCATATGTTGGGAGTAGATATGAATGAAGATTGTCGTGAATTGGTGTGTAGAGTGTCTAAATGGTGTTAGACATAGCAAGAGTTGCTGCAACGTTCATGAGTGCTTATGAACTGGTTTTGAGCATTGGAATAAACCCGCGCTTGCTGGAATCACCTTATGGAATACGATATAAAAGGTGATCGCAAGACGATAATATCATATGGTCTTAAAACCTAGATATATGGTTTATTATTTGTTAATTGATTGTGCATTGATAATGCGAAAACGCATCAGTAACTTGATGTTATAAAACGCATTGTTGTGTATAGTTGGTTAATGAATAAGTAAATGCATATAAGTCGAAGTTTATCTGTAAATTTTATCCTAAGAGGTAGAAGAGATATCTTGGCCACTCGATGATTTGATTTGACTTATGTGCCGGGCCCGGTCAGAACTGAATTGATGTGTTCGATTAAGTTCTATGTCAAATAAATCGAAGATCGAGAAATCTAAATGCTAGACTAACCGTTCCATAGGATTGTCAGCATGATATCTAACAGAGGACTGTACGATCCCTTATCTAAAGGACAAGATTGATTAGATCAGAGTTGACAGCGTCTTTGAGAGCTACGATTGCAAACCGTATTATACTTGTATAGTTACTAGACTTATCCAAGTGGGAGACTGTTGGAATAGTGTCTAAGGCTGTAACTATATTCGGTTGTGCATGGTCCTTTTGGGTTGCCTTCACCATAGCAACTTGAAGGATGATTATTAAGAGAGAGTAAATATTATAAGGAATAATATTTAGCTATTTGATTAATATAAGTCATAAATTAATTGGTATTAATTTGGTGACTTAAAGAGATTAATTAAATAAGAGGGTATAAACTGTCAATTGTTTGATAGTTAGACTTTAGACTGTAAATCCATTAGGGTTGACCTTGGACGGATTCTAGGAGCTTTAGGATAGCTCAAAATCGTCCATAAGGTTATCTATGGAATGGATTTGGATAGCCTTAAGAGAAGATTATCCAATTAGGGTTTAGGGTGAAACCCTTAAGGAGTCTACAAGTATAAATAGACCCTATGGGTGAGGGAATTCGACACACAACCTTAAGCAAGGATACTCTGGCCGAATTCCTCCCCTCTCCACTCTCCTAAATCATCTTGCTTGCTATTGGTGTTTGTAAGCCATTAGAGGAGTGACAATTGTGACTCTAGAAGCTCCAAGACAAACAAGATCAACAAGGGATTCAAAGGTATGATTCTAGATCTGTTTCATCATTGTTATTTAGCCTAATTAGCTATTAGAAGTCTTGGATTCAAAAGCATGTTTATTAGAAAGCCTAGATCCAAGCATTAGGGTTTTGCATGCGCACATAAGAAAGTTCTTATGGCTAAAACCCAACAAGTTATTGTGATCTTTGAGGAGTTAGTGTTATTGTAGTAATGATGACGTTTTAATTTTAACATAAAAATTTTACTGAAGTGTTTTGTGTTCTTATAGAATGAATGTAATCAAAATTGTAATGTAAGTACTGTAATAGAATTTAGTTTGTGTACATAAATTCTATTAGCATTTTGATAGAATTTACTCCTACTAATTGTAATTCTAGTAGAAGCATTGTAAAATAGACATTGTACAAATTTTGTGTGTGTATATGTTCATTCTATTTGATATGTAATATAATGTTGTCATATAAATTAAAATTCTATTAGAATCATTGTTAGGGTATACGTGTACATGATTCCTTAATTGGAACAGAAGGAAGTGTATATCGGGGTCATACAGATTGGAATGTTACTGTTTAATATGGAGATTGCTATTAACTAAATGCGTATGTTTTTATTACTGAGAAGATTGATAAATTATTATTATTATTTTTTTAATATTTGGTTTTAATTCTTGTAGAAACATGTTTTGGATTTGTGTTTCATCCTTACAGAATGAAAAGTTGTATAATACTTTTAGCTTTTATAAGTAATGAACTATGCCTGGTTACTTTGAAAACTATTACTAACCAATGTTTATCATTCATTTCAGCAATTGTTTCTTGGAATGTTGCAGAAGATGATCTAGTCCCAATTAATGTTGATACTTCAAGCCAAACAAAGGTTAGAAGGAACTAACGTACTAGATCAACACCTGTTAAAGAGAATATCAGTACTCAATGTACAGGTAGATTAAAATTTTTTGATTTATGAAGGAAAATAACAATAATTTTAGAAAATGTTGATAACCAATATGGATTAATTGTTAATTAATGAAGCAGAAGGTGGCAGAAGTGGACAAAATGATATGAATACTGTTGGATCAAGCAAAACAAAGAAACAGAGGAAAAAAACTTCAAAATCAGAACATGGAAAGAACAATGTTGAATGTGGTAAGACAGGTTAGATAATAAGTGCATGTAATTAATGAGTTCAACTATATGTTTCTGATATGGCTAATATAGAGTTTATTATTCTGTTGAAGTTGTATTATACGATTAGTAAACGTTTTGTTGTGATATAACATATTTTAACAAAGATAAGAAAGACACAATACAAATTGACAGCACAAGTGTTAGAGGTCTGAAAAGGAAGGGTTCTGATAGAAACACACCTGTTAAGGACAAGAAGAAATCGTCGGATGCAAGTGGTGAAAGTAAAAAACCAAGAGGTTTAAATGAGATTTTTATGGAGAGAATTAGTGGGTCAAAGAAAAATAATGAAAAGGCTAATATTGGTGTGGATATGGAAGATAAGGAAGATGTTGTAGAAAGGAAAAGGGTGGTGCAAGATGCACATTCAAAGAAAAGTCCAAAAAGATAGAAAGGAAAAGTAGAAGATGAAAATGATAAAATCAAAACAATGGAGGGGAAGGTCAGAAAAATAAGCAGGGACCATCCAGAAGGTTATATAAGACTTGCAACTAGGATGACTCCTGGAAGGATAAGTTCAGCTGTGAAAGTAATGTCACCCGCACAGAAAAATGGGATTGTGTCAATGGGATTTGGTTCACTTCTTCATATTCACATAGACACTACTCCGGGTTTACTTAACTACTATCTGTTAGATCACTATGATCTAGCTAGTAGCCATCTAGTTCTAGAAAATATGGTCATAACAATTACGAAAGACACAGTGCATGAGATGTTGGGTTTACCAAATGCGGGGGAAGACTTTATGAGGTTGAGTAGTTGTGATAAGGATAATGAAGTTCTGCAAGAATGGAAAGGCCAATACGAAAAAAAGGGTTCAATGGTGAAGAATAAATGAAAAGGATCAAAAACACAAAGCAAGACAATCTTATGTTTAGGCTGAATTTCATGTCCCTTTTCATTAACACATTTGTTGAATCAACTTTGAGTGGTACAAATCAAATTAATGTTGTGAATAAGTTGGTCTTGGTAAAGGACTTCTCTAAAATTGATTGGTGCAAGTATATCCTAGATTGTTTGGTAAGCAGAAAACAACTATGGAGAAGAGATGATAAGACATGCTATTACAGTGGACCTATACTAGTTTTGATGGTAATGTTGTTGTGTATATTAAATTTTTACTTTATTTTATGACAGTAATATGTATAATGAAGTATAATCTTTTTTATGTAGCTGGTGTATGTATATAGAATGAAGTTCGCAGGTATGAAGATAGTGAAAAGGTTACTATTTGTTAGAAATGTTACTAGTTCTTTACTTGAAAAAATATAAAAGATGGAGAATAGTGTTGGGGGGGGGGGGGTTGGTAGGCAGTTACCGGAAAACTTTGAGGATATTGGTGATGATGATGGAATGGTTGATGAAGATGATATGTTGGACGAGATGATGAGGGATTATGGTGACGAGGAGGTAAGCTATAAATTCACTAAGAATTAAGAACAATATTTCTTCCAGAATTGTAAACAATGAGAGTTTAATATAAAACATAAATGTAGATATGGCTGATTTAAATTGAATTACTTGATTTATAGTTATTGATCTATTTGGAACATTTATTTTTTTAGAATATTAATCATGATATGTTAATATAAAACTTACAGGCATACGTGGCTGTTATCAAGCATAGCTATAGAGTAATATTATCTGAAAAGAAGAATATTGAAAAATCTCTAAAACATGGAATTGAGAAATTCCCAGACAGCTTAAGCATGAAGGAGTGGTGTGAAAAAAACGAAAAAAATGTTCAAAGAAGTTAATAATGCAGTGAGTGGAGGAATAAAAGACAAGGATCCTAGTTTTGATGGTTATAGTAACAAAGGAGATGCAGATGGTGGTAAAGAAGCAGAATTCTCGCCAATTAGAGGGTTGGTAGTTGAAGGGGAAAAGAAGGATGATGGTGGAGGTTTCAGTAACCTCAAATGGATAACGTAGGTAATACAGATAATCTAACCTGTTCACAATTCTTGTAGAATCATGAAGTGTTGGCAACAACAATTAAAAAGACTTATGAGGCTGTGTTGGAAAGTTATAAAAAAGAGAAAAAAAGAGGAAAGAAAATCATGGAAACAGTTGAGGTATGTGAGGAAGATGATGACCATGGAAAAAGGGGAAAAAGAGATCAAAAGATACATGTATATGGAAAATCACCTTTTGTTGAAAGGATTATTAGAATAAGTGAGAAGGTGAAGAAGGATGAAATGTCGTTATACAACTCAGTTTTTGCATGAAAAAGAGATTATAGGTAAGTTAAATAATACAATTTAGTGGTTTGTTTTTAATATGTGGTGTTATAACAGTGATCGTTTTATAATTGTCGAGCAGGGAAGAGATATGGAACATTGGTAGTGGACATGTGTTGCATCAAGTTTTAACATATCATTTTAAAAGCAACACGTTTATTCATGCGATAATCATTGACTGTTGGTCATCATTACTCAACAGAATGGAGGAACTCAGGGATGTAGGATCGGTTTCTAGAGTATTCTTTGACACAAATTTTTTGGTAAGTATTTAAATTTAAATTAGTTCCAGTTGAATAATATGTGTTTTATTGATTGGTTTATTAATTTGTACATGCAGAAGGGATACTGGGTGCATCATTGTCACCTGAAAGAACTCAAGAATTATTTTATTTGATGTTGAAACTCCACCTTAAAAGTCTACCAAAACAGGAAAAGCTGAAGGATATTGGACTTGTGATTAATTAAACCTTGTTTTTTTATCAATTACAACCATAACATACAATACTATCTTATTGGACCACTATGTGTTATGTAACAAGTTTTCTTCCTAATAGTTAATAAAAGCAAATATTATCTGATATGCTTTGATCTAAGGGTTCCAACATACTACATTATAGACCATGTGACCCGAAATGGTTTTGTTGAGGAAATCTATGGAATAAAACACATTTATGTGGTATGGTGAAGCTTTATTACTTGAAAATTTTAAAATACATGAGTTTAATATTGAATTGTAAAATGATTGTTTTGTATCGTAGAAAAAGTTGCTTGGGAACTATTTGAAAACAGAGAATTACCAAAATTCAATAGCTTTCAACAAGATTAAAGCTCGTGTAATGAAAATGACATGGAAAGTAGAGAAAGAAGGATCAGACTGTGGAGTATATCTTATGAGGCATATGGAGTCATATATGGGGGAAAATGAAGGGCGTTGGGATTGCGGTTTTACAGGAAAAAACAGATTGATTTAATTGCATTAAATAATCTACGAATCAAATACATGGCAAAGCTTATGAAATCAGAGTACAACAAACATGAAAGTATGTTGGAGAAAGATGCAGAAACATATGAGAGGCTTGATCCATTGCAGAAATTGGTTATGATGAATGAAGTGAAGGAAATCAGGGAGAAGTAGAAACGTGGAAGGCGTCGATTTTAATATGGGAGTGTTATGATGTTAGGATGGTTGGTTTTCAAAAACTTTTGGTAGTATGTTTGGTTTAAGTCTATTTATTATTATTATTATTTTTTTTTAATTATTTTGGTCTAGTATTGTGTGCTTTGGGGTAACAATTTATCTTGGTAGGATTGTTATATGGTGTAAGACTTTTGGTAACATTGTTTGTTTTGGTCTAACTTATTTTCTTGGGAGAAATGTTGATGTGTTTTATTATGTTCTAGAATTGTTTGTTTTTTAGAAACAGGTTAATGTAAATGGTGTTTGTTGTAGTAGAATTTTTTTTGGTAATTGTTACTAGATTGATGTTGGAATTCGTATATGGATATGAAAGCTATCAAAACATGCAATGTGTTGGAAGATGGTTTGTAATGTACATGTAAGTTAAGTTTATAAATTATACATTACGATATGCATTTGTTGTGGTAGTTTGATACAAGTTAGTTTAGACAGTTTTGGTGTATGTAAAATGTTTTAAGTATAATTACATGATATTCTGATGGAATGTATATGTTTGAGTGTAAGTGGTAGAATGTATGAAAATTATGATTTACCCTGATTGTTTCGATGATATATGTCATATGGGATACGAAATAGTCATGTGTAAGAATTGTTAGATTGACTCTACATAATGTTCTGGAAGAATATAATAGCTTATGTTACAAATGGTAAAATGTAACAAAAATGAGTTGTTGAAAGATGGTTTGTAATGCACATGTATGTTTTGTTTTTCAAGAATAATATGTGTACATTTGACCTGTCCATTAAAAAAGGATATGCTAAGTGTTATGTTTACAAGATATTCTTATAGAATATATGTGTTATTTTTCAAGTGGTAGAATGTATGAACATAATGATTTCCCTTGTTTGTTTCAATTTTGAATTTCAGATAAGATGCACATTAATCGTGGTAGAATGTATGAAGGTTATGTTGTTACATGTTAGGATACTTATTAATGGTAGATAAAAATTGTTACAAAATATGAAAAAGTGTATAACAATGTATGACAATTTTATTAAATACAATGAAATTTGTAAGCAGTAAAATAAATAAAGATGAAACAAAAACGTTTTAATGTAATATAATATTAAAAGGAAAACTACATATAAAGCATACTACTTAGACACGTTTTTAAGAGGACAATTTCGTTTATCATGGTTAGCCATCTATTGACATAAAACACACTTTCGCTTAGGCTTCGAACCAACTTTTTGCAACATTTCTTTTTTTGATTTTAATCTCTTGCCGTGACTGTGAGTTCCCTTATTACGAATATCTGATGGGTTGTCAATATCGTGAGCATCATTAGTTAATTCTACGCCTATAATCTGGTTGTAGAATGCTTCTCTTGATGGCATCTCGGGGGCTGGACAATCATCTACAAATTTTTTCTTCAGCTTATTCAACTCTTCAAGGTATGAATTTAACTTCGATGCATCATGGCTTAAAAATGAAACACAATGATCTATGTTTGAAAAAATTTCAATAGCCGTCATGTTAGAGTTAGAGTCTAGTAAAGAATTAGAAAAAAGCCTTTTAAGCAATTCTGTTGGAATAACATCCCGATGTCACCATTTCATAATGTATTCTTCAAGAATCTGTTCAATACTATAGAACTTAAAAACAGAAAATATGTGCCTACACAAAATACCGACATGTTCGAAATGCATGCAAGTACATTTGTATGAACCATCTGTTGTTGAGTGCGTAACCTGGAATATGTATGAAAAAAATACGAGTTTGAGTAATAAAGTATTGTTGTGTGATTAAAAAAAATAGTTACGCATTGTTAAAGTAATAACGTACGATGTATTGGGTATCCTTTGTAAGATGAACGTAATGGTATTCCTCAAGTTTGTCATCAACAACAGGACTTGATGGTTGCATTGTTGTTATGTTCTTTTGCTTCTCCAAAACAATAATAGTGTCAAAACAATTATTAGAAGTAACACTCATTTGGAAACAAATGTTATCAGGATCTGATATCTCTTTCTGCACCTGATAAAAAAAATTCGAGTGTAAACCTTTGAAGCATGTGCTTCAATTGGACTAGATGTGATGAATCTAGGAAGTGTTGTGGCGGTGTTAAAGTTGTTGACAACTTGATTACACCTTTGTCGTTCCATAAGACCCTCAAATTTCATCATAAACATTAAAAGATAAGAAACAGTAAGGGTATTGTTATGAAACGACCAATTTTGGCCTTCCGACAATGATGTAGTTCTCATAAGACCAAACATCGGTATGTCCTTGAAAAATGCAGGTACCCAACATCTACGCAACCTATACATCTCTTGGAACCACTTGTTATTTGAAATGTTAAACTCATTTAAACAAGATTTCCATTCATTTTCAAAATCATGTGGTTCCAGCTTAGAATTCCAAATTATAGAGTGAAAACACTTTCGAAAGGCTGAGTTTGTGGCTAGTTGCGATGTTATCTGAAAAAAAATGTTAGTATAAAATAAATAATTATGCTGCACAAGGAATGCAGGGTCTGAATGGTGTAAAATATGAATTCCAACAAAATGTTCTTTAAAAATTCTTAAAGAATGTATCTTAAAATCTAGCAAAAGCCGATAATGAATTGTAGTTGTGGCATATATTTTTTATGAAATATTTTATTTCTAATTGAATAATATGTGCTAACAAGGTAAACATAGTGAGTTTGGGTTAAATATAAAAAAATACTGATCTTATTTAGAAGTTTTTTTTGTAATATACCACATACAAAACCTATGTGCTGACATTGGAAATACTTCATTAACAACCTTGTTTAAAGCTGGATCTTGATCTGTAAGAACAAGTGTAGGTTGTTTTTTGAATGATTTCAAAAATGCTCTAAGCAGCCAGGAGTAAGAACTAGCATCTTCTCTACTCAAAAGTCCAGCACCAAAAGTCACACATTTCTTATGATTATCTATCCCAGTGAAAGGTACGAACACCATATCATATTTGTTTAAAAATATAAAACTTGGTAAGCGTTATTGGAATCTAGAAAATTTTTGTGAGAAGATTGCAAAATTTAATAATAATTATTCATGCTGAATGTGGCATCCATAGAAACAACGTCTCCAAAAGCGTTGTAGTTGTACTTTGTAGTTTCGTCAGCCCAAAAAATCGAATTCAATTTTTTCTCAACAATTCTAAAATCGAAAGAATAACTTGGGATATTTTTTTTCCTCTCCAACATCTTCAATGCAAGGAATTTTGCATCCCTGGCACCTATGTAAGAATTGAGATTTCTTGTATTGTTCTTGAAATCAAAAACCAACCCACCTCGAATGTCAGAACCACCTTGAAGTCCGGAATACAATCTATGTGCTCTTGAGGGACCAATATTTTGCTTTGACAAGTTATGAATAAAAATTTCCTATGAATAATTAAGTTTCCTCTTAGTACGAGACAAAAACATATTGTCCTTACCAAACAAAATATGATTATGTTGTTCAAGAAATTCAGCAACATTATATTTATTAGTACCATGTAGTAGAATAACAACAATTTTTGCTTTGCATTCACACCTAAATGAGTCTTTCCTTCTCTGAATCTTATTATGTTGAAGGTCCAAAGTATCCACTTTAGCGGTTGTTGGTTTACCTTCCCGATTGCATAGCACATGTTGTTGTGTGGTAATGCCATATTCGGTTGTTCTAAATGGTCCAAGCCTGACATTAAAACCTGCTAATGATGCATAATTGTAATACATTGATAATGTTGTTGTATATGAATAAAAAATTGAATTAATTTTAGGTTTGATGTTGTCTGAAACAACAGGAATCCAACATGATGATCCACCAGGAGAGACATAATCATGTGTAACATGAGATTGTTCTGCATAAAAGAAAAATAAAAAAAAGTTTCAAAGAATTAATCTAGTTTATTAATTTTTTTTATCATATACAAACCTTTCTGAAATTCAATGTTATCATCGTCTATAGTATAATCTGCCTCATTATCATTTGAAGTCGAATTTATTTTCTGCATCTTTTAATAAGAGTATGTGTAATGGATACGTAAAAATATATAAAAACGAAAAAATACTAAAAATACATCACCTGAGTTATGATTACTAGATTCACCAAAATGATATTCGGAATTGTCATACATGTGATCTTGAATGTGTTCTAATGGATCCTCATCTTTGCAACTGCAAGTTACACCAAAACACAAAAAACAATAGAAAATTTCAACATTATTATTATACAAAATAACATATATTAAAAAATTATAAAGTAAATTCACCTAAATTTAAATTGCTACTCTCAGATATTTGAAATTCGACATTATGTAGAGAGACATGATCTTGTAACCCGAAATTTTCATACTCCTTAGGAAATTCATGTTGATCATGAATATGATCATCACCGACTGATACTGTATCATCCATAAGATAAGTAACAGCACGATAGAACACCAGTTGATATGAGAAAGCAAAATAAATGCGATATTACAAAATTTGAGCCAATTCAGTATATACTCAAGAAGGAGAAACCATGTAATTGATATGTAACTAAAAATACGTGATATCTATATTCATTGTTATCAAATATTTGTTTTTTTTTTAAATTTTTAGAAAGATTGTAAGGATAATAATCAACACAAAATCGTTTTATTCATCATGATTTTGTAAATATTTGACATATTCAACTTCCAAATATAATAAATTACGTATATGTGACTTCAACACATCCATCATTTTAAATTAAACTTTTAAACAATTAATTCTGCAAACTTTAAAAAATAAAAATTTAATTGATTTTACAAATGATTTCTGGTTTGTTATGCCATAA